ACAATGTTTGTATAATCTGGTGCCAAACGCAGCTCTGGGCAAAAGGACAAATTTGTTATCGAAAGCTTTGAGCGCGAGATGAAAAAACGAAACTGAAAATTCTCGTGATTTCTATGTTGTTCCCCCCATGATGTATAGTCGAGCGCGTGGAAAACGTATTTTCGGGGCCAAACAGGCACGTCGGTATAAATCGTTGGGAATTTCAACGTGAAATCGGCAGCCCCTTCTACATTGTAAAAATATACATTCGATAACTCGATCCATCCCGATAATGACGGATGGTTAGATAACAACTGATGACGACAAAATCGACTAAAAGTGAGATCGATATAGAGCAACTGTTGCATGTGATGAGAGAGTCAGAGCACCGGAGGATTTTACGGGTAGGGGAACGATAATAGATACCGACATTTTATATATTGTCCTCTGAAACTATAGAAGGTAGGTATTGCTGCAAACCTGCGTGCGGATAAAAGTACATGATATGAGTATTCACGGCAGAGGACCGCAAAAGTAAGTATAGCATAATATCTACTTTTGTGCTGCAACCCTGCACATACAGCTCGGTCGGATTATCTTTTTTTTTTCTGTCCCTGCCTCTGTTAATTATACCTACACTCAACGAGCGCGGGAGGCTGTTTTGTCGCTGTTGCTTTGGACAATAACATAATATGAGCTTTTGGATTTTCTTTCTCTCGTTGATGCGCGTTCACTCGTGATGTGTCCACTGACTGTATAATTATGGCTTGTTATTACTAATGAATAGCCTGAGCGCGTGTAGGTACACTGGTGTGGGTAATATACTAATCCGTCGAATACACCGAGTGACGTACTCGGACCATATAATGTATATACTTTACGAGGCTTGTCGAATTTTTCAAAGACCCCGAGCTCGCTAGTGCACCTGATGCTTCGAGTTCTCGGCTTTGAAGTTTAGCCAAAAGAGCACGCTCTTCCTCAGCTAATTCGGGAAAATTTAAAAAGTTTTGCGAGCACTGGGACGAAATGTACCGCGACGCGGTATATTTATCCGATTGAACGTGCCCTCGTGTATATATAAAGCGCGTCTCGTAGCTTTGAAAGTTAAATCAACTTCTCGACGAAGCAGCTGAAAGAAACAAAAGACCGGATCGCAGTAAAAAAGGCGGGTTTTACAGAAGAGGGGCCGCTTTAAGGGAATATAACGCCGAAGAGGGTGGTATTGAATCAAACGGATGATCAAACAGAGCAGTTAGCCCGAATCATCGCGGTCGATTGCCGGTTCACCGGCTGTTGAGACAAGCGCGCCTTTTTTTTTTATTTCCGCGGCTGAATCTGATTTGCTCCGCAGAAAAAAAATTGCCCTCCCTTTTTCCACTGTCACCTCCTCCCCTTCCCCCCAAAGATGCTTTTTCTTCGTCTTTGCTCGGGAAATCCCGGCGCTTTGTGAACGTAATCGAAATGCCGGCTTCTCCCTTGGCGTCTGTCTGTATCGGGCTCCCCATTGTTCGCTGGTTTCCCTGGGTTTATTTGGAAAATTGAAAAAAATCAATCGCCAATGAAATAATCCGGTGGGACGCGGATGCTTTGTCCCATCTCCTTCTGTGTCTACGGGCCACTGTGGTAATCCATATTCGATCGATAATCAGTGCTGCCTTCGATTTTCGATAACAGATTTTGATGGATTGAAAAATATTAAAAAAAAAAAAAAAAGAATCGGAGTTATTATTGGAGGCAACGTCGATGGATGTTATCGATCACCGCAAAATTACCCAATTTACTTTTGAATCCGTAAATTGCCACATAAAATGTAAAAATGAGTTTTCAAAGGGTACACGCCTCTCAGCTCCGCGGAGTAAATCGAAAATCCAAATATTACAATCATCTGTGCTGGGAGGAAAAGGAAAGGGAGCTACTAGCGCCGAGATATGAGTTTTGCGCCGTGATTGACGCAAAAGTCAAAAGGCAAAAGTAAATTAATGCCGGCGGTCGGGGGGGTACGGTGCATCGGCAGTACGTTATATTTTGCTCTTCGCCGCGCAAAGGAAAAAGAAAAAGAGGGTCTTGCGTTCGCGCACGTCGTCATAAATATTGGCACCATAAATTTCGAGCCGCAGCGGAGCTCCGCGGGAGTTACGTACATATTGCCGCGTCCTGTCGTTCCGGCGCCCCGAGATCCCCTCGCTATTGCGATTTTTCTTCATTTCCTCTGCCTACTTCCATCTCGCCCGCTCTCCCTACCTTTTTTTTCCTCTTTTTTTCAACTTTCCCCTGTCGCTGTACATATAGTCTCTAGTCGACGAACCAGCCGGAGATATGTGCGCGCGTTATACGTTATCCGCGCTCGCGTCTTCGAGGAACCGGCGTATAATTTACGTCCCTCCTCGCGACGGTCGTGGCCATTAATGGTACCTGGATACGTACGCACCCAACTGAGCATTGAAAACTAGCTCGTTGAAAACCGAGACTCTCTAGGTTTCGTGATTTTTCTGGAAAAAGGGTTTTTTGGCGAAACACTCAATTATCTCCTTTGTGAAATCAGCTGCACAAGGGGTAAGACACCGGGAGAGATTTGGGCCAACGAAAGAAATTATCGTTTGCGCGATGTCGGAAAAAATACGCGCACGAGTATTATATATAAACAACTCCGGGGGTAACACGTGTTGTGTTATAAAGATAAGAAATTTTCCAATATAACTGAGCGATGGAGTTTCGGTGACATTGAGCAAAACGGTGAAAAGTAATCGGAGTTTCGTGGCTGTTAGACTCGTTCACTATAAGTGTATGTGTATAGTGTAATTTTTCAACGTGTCAGGTTAGTCTCGAAATAAAGTTTTTCCTACCATTTTTGTCCCAAAAATTCTTTAACTACTTAACATAACATCACCCCCAAGCTCTAATCACGAATTTCACTTTGTTTTCGAGTAACCATGGAAAATTACTTGTAAAGCCAAAAGAAATTTGCAAGTAGTTCCAAAAATCATACATTGTTTGAATCCTTCTTGTTAATGGTAGGTCGTCACGTTACGAAGCCTGTTCATTCGAGATTTAGTGGCTCTAAGCTGATCACTGATAAAAATAATTTGTACTTTAAGAGAAATAAAATACAAAAATACCGATTATTTTTTTGAAAGTTAAAAGAAAGTAAACCTCTGATTAAAACACTCGGGACTTGGCACACAAAGTGAATCCAAGCTTTGTCGTTTTTTTGAAATTTTCGAGGCAAGAGTCTTAGTTTCGTACTGAAAAAAAAAAAAAAAAAAAAAATCCAATTTGCGAACTAACGCTCTTGCCTTTCAAAAACCCACGCCAGCGGACCATACCCGCTATAACGCGATATTGATGGTCCGCCAATAACAGCGGGCGGGTAAAAACTTCCGCAAAGTCGAGAGCACCGTTTTCCCAGAGGGTGCGATAAATTGACGGGCCCCGAAAAAGGTCCTCCTCTCGAAATCGGCCATCCGTCAGGTCCGCCTGGTCGCCGCACCGCTGCAAATAAATCGCGGCTCCTATATGGCCCGTCGAACGACGCGCGACGCCGGGCGTTAACTCGACACTTCCGGCGCAGGTACACCACTGTCATTTCCTATTTACCCGTGGACAGTCAATGGAAACCGGGGGATTAATAAGTACGAGGCTCCCAGCAGATTGTCAAAGAGCTGTTGTTATCGCTCAATTTAACGAGCAGTGTGGAAAACACGCAGGTGGCATCATAATCATATACGATGCGTGTCCAATGTGCACGTTTACGCACCTCGTACCTACTAGGTGGCGCGAGTTTACAAGTATACATCGAATTCGCGGGTTTGTAGATAAATTCGCCCAATACCATTCGAATGGACCGCAGAGTGGTCTGCATAATGCGCTGCGCGCGGGGAAAGAAATTTACACGTGAGTATAACGGGTATATAGGTACAATCAATCCCGGGTGCACAATGACCAGAGAGTGTAGCACAGAGGAGATACGGCTGGGCTCTACATGGGAGGCAGAAATGGTTGTGCGATGCGTATAACGTTGCGACGGTGAGATGGACTGAGAGAGAAGTGGAGGTGGCGTGCGTGTGTGGCTTTGCGGAGAGCGCGGGCATGGTGGGTTCGCATTTAAATTCGATACATTGATCGGCAATGGGCGCAACCTCTCGTGTGCGTACGTGCCTTCCTACGAGGTATGTAATATATTCACTGCTGCTTCCGCACGAGCTCCCGACGACCCACTGGAGCTGTACTTATTCATCCCAATGAGTTGACGATTGTGGATACGGCTGTACACGTCTGTGCTGCAAACCATTTGCGCGGTGGATAAGTATACAGGAGTCAAAGGTGTGCAACAAAAGTGTCCTCGCTTTTGTCTCGGCCGCCGTTGGAGGAGAGCGCCAATATTGCCCAAATTGTTCCGGATATTGAAAATCTCGGGTGTATGTATGCGCCCGCTCGTTGCACGGTCCAAATTGTGAAACGCTTGGGCACAATGGTTTCCGTTTCGAGTCGATCGAGCGGCTTTTATCTTGCAAATCGCTTAAAAATGTACGAATCCTCGGTGCCGGGCAACGTATACAACATAGTTGAACCGTCCATATTTAAATACGTATATTGACGCGAAGAAAGGTAAAATATACGAGTCGAGTGTTGTTTGATGAAACTTTGTCTACCGGCTCATCGTGATTTAAAATTTTTGTGACTCGACAGGATGTCCGTATAAGAGATGGCTACTAAGATATTACTTATCGGCGTGTAGCAACACGTGATTTAACGGTACATCGCTTACTATTTATTTTTCGTTGCGAATCATGCAGTGAATCTAACGACTGACGATGATGACGCACGTAACAATAATTTTTGTGCAGAAAAAAAAAAAAAATTAACAGTAAGTTTTGTATATTTTTGAAAGTCATACACACGTATGAATGTTATTACGAATCAAACAAGCATTTACATTGCGCTTAGTTTCCAAGATAATTTGACGAGTATGAGGCAAGCGCTCAAAATTAATGATCGAGCTGTAGTTTTAAAAGACGAATTACACAAGTCCGTGCTACAGCTGGTAGATACCGTCACGAACTCTTCTGTTGGATTGTAATGATAATTATCTATGTTTCTTTCGCACTTTTTGAACACTACCTCCTGGCCTTTGTATTCTAAAATGGACGTACAATTTATCGTCATTAAACGAAGTGACAATAAAAAAAAAAAAATAAAATAAACAAATTAGTCGCTTATACGTGGCTCACTTACTGAACTTCTCTGTCAAACACACCCAGTCCTCCGAATCGTCTTTAACTGACGATGTATTGTCATGTGGTTTTTCATGATTTAGTGGATTGCATTCCAGAGGAAACGAATTTTTGGAATTGCTCAGACAATCCGAAGGGTATCCGATACAATGATAGCACTTCAATCCAAGCGCTGTAAAGAAAAATATTATCGTGTACAAAGAAGTCAGCGCCCCGTAGGAAAAAAAAAACAGTGGAAAATTTTTACTTTCGTTTCCATACTGAGGAACGGAAAAACACATTATCGTCGAACAGTTTGACGCAGAGGTGAACTACCTTCTTTTTTCTTATCAAAAAAAAAAGGTAAAAATAAATGAGTTTTTACCTCTGCTTGAACAGTGCAAAAAAACCAGAGTAAATCCAATGGTTTTCCAAGGAAACAACATTTCGTCGCTCGAAGGCTGTACGACAGCATGAGTTTTCTTCAACGTTTCGCTTCGACTCAGGAATAAGAATTAATGTCACTAATCGTTTTCTCACTGATAACATTTATCAAGAGTTACTATAGATAGCGTCCCGCTCACTTTAGAGTATTTAATAATGTATATATAGTTCTCGGAAAAAAGGCCTAAATATTTTTTTTTTAAAGTATAATAGGTAAAAAATTAGAGTTGAGTTACTTGAGGTATCTCATCTCCTACAATGGATTTTTTGATACTCTCAACTATAATTATGAGATACAAGTATCGGGCAATCATCTTTCTGCACTTGAAATAACTATAAGTTCACAATATAGTTATACGCTGATCAAATATTGATGGCCATTCACTTTTTTGTAGTAAAATTTCACAATTTCCCAATTTTATACTTATGGTTGGTAAAAATAGTAGATTTTCACTACGAAACAATCAACATTCACTATTTCTACAGGTTACAGTTTCACTAACTTGATTAATTGTTGGTTACACTCAAAATAATATTTGTACGTGGTTATACACTTGACTCTCTGATCGGCTAATGATCAGATCCCAAATAAACATTTGAAACACGAGATTATATAGGTGTTGACTGCAGATAAGTACCTTTTTTTTTTTTTTCACTATTTGCTTAGTAAACTAAATTTTCACCATTTCAAATTTAGAGCACCAATCTTAAGAATAATTATATGTTTTACAATTCGGCTGATAAAATAACGTTTAATCGTGGCTCCAAAGAATCTCTTTACTTGTATAAATATACAGAGCACACGACACACGAATGGCACATCCAGAGCGCGTGGCGCATTGCGCGATCCGGCCACGACGCGTACGTATGCACGATCGCCCGATACCCTTGGAAGTGTAAGCACGTATAACTATACAACGAGCCGATGGTCCGATAATTTGGTGACGAGCCAGCTTGCGTCGGCGATTCCCCGGATCAAACACTGCACGCGCAATATGCAGGATGTGCACGCGCGCACGAGTTGGACAAAAAGCCTCGGCTCCAAAAAATGCTTCGGAGCCAAAAAATGAAACGGGGAAAAAAAGTAGAGAGGAAAATAATCCCGAGACGATGGAGTAAGAAGGAGCTAAGGGGGGGGGGGGGAGAGGAGAGGTGCTTTGTTCCGGCTCCAATCGGATCTGCTGAATTATTTAGCGGAGTGCGCGAAAGCTGAACGTCCGTTTGGGAGTTGGAGAGGCTAGACGGATGATGCTCCTTGCCCTTCCGAGTCCCGCGACTCACCTCCTTCAAGCCGGCGTTGAAATAATGATAATGAGGCCGGCTGATGCGGCTCACGTATACACACCTCTTGTGCTACAACGGCACGGCCAGCTTTTCCCTCATTCCCGGCGCGCCTAGTTTATCGCTGTCAACGTTACCCATTTCCCCCCTCGACTGTAGCACCTGCGCGCTGTACACACAACGCGTAGCTATATATATACATACCTACCTCATTGATAACGAGGGAGGCGCGCTCGTCCTCTGTTTCTTTCTTTCGGGCTCTCGCTCGATTTTTCTCCCGAAACGTGTAGCGTGTGATGCACCCTTATCATTCAGAGCGCGGGGCCATTTCTCATCGGCCCCGTGTGTTTTTTCCGCCCCTCGCGATTCTAAGTAGACGCGCTCGCCCACCCGCGCTCCTCGCGAGCTTCGCAAGTATATTTTATGTTACTGCGACCCCTTCGCGTTTTGGCAAGCTGCACCCGGCTCTCTAGCTCCACGCGGGTATTACCAGATATCGGGGCGCTCTCTTTTTCCGGTCGTTAGCTCCCGAGCTCTCGGCCTGGTATATACTCGATTTTCCGCGAGTTATTGGATTTTCGGGGATTTGCCTGCACGCGCGGAGAAAAAATACCACCCCACCTCGAGTGCATTGTTAGTCCTCGTCGTTAAAATTCGCCCTCGGCAGGGTACAGCTTATACGTATGGAACATGGAGAACACCGGTGTTTTGTGTTTGTTGGTTGTTCCCAATCGTGGGAGGGGGGAAATCAACGTCGCAAACTCTGTGTGCCCAAACACGGTTGGCTGAAGGATAATATTGAAAATGCCATTATTAGCTTTGTTACTCGCGGTCCGTTGAAATTCTCCTTGACGAGGATCCTTTTGAATATTTTGGTCGTCGCGTAATCGAGTCTAGAGAACACGTAGTGCGTAAAATCTCGCGTTGTTTTTTTAGCAAAACGGGAAATTCGAAAAACGTGTGTTCACACTTGTATTTTCGTGCTGGCGCGTCTGTCGGAGTTGATTGAAAAAAAAACCTCGCGTCATTAGGGAGTGTACACGGTAACGTCATTCAAGCCTCGTGTATATGCACACAGCCCCCCCGTTCATTCGTGCGGATTCAAAAAACATAGCCCCTCGCCTCTCGTCGTGTGCTGCTTTCATTCCACGCGTTGCATGAGAAATCGAGCCCTACGGCATCGACCTGCACATCGTATAGCGCACGTATACACCGAAAGGGATGAAAGGGGAAAGCGAAAGAAGAGTCTCGACACCCCCCGAGGCGATCGCAAAAAAAAAACGGGGAGAAAAGCTGGGTGCTCTGAAAAAACACACCCACACACTCCCATCGATCAAAAAAACATTACCCTCGTATATATACGTAAAAAAAAAGCTCCGCGTACGTGTAAAATATATATACGTATACACGTGGAATCGGGGATCCGATATACCCCCGATCGTCGCGCCTCTGCAAATCAAGTCCGTAACGGCGATGTCGACTCCTGCTGCACTGCGCTGTGTACGGCAATACACATATGAAGCGACGGGGGACGCGCGAATGGCTTTTTTGATAACTCGCCGACGTGATTTTTATGGCCCCCGCGCAGGACGTGTAGTTAAAAGCTCCCGAGGCTTATACCTGTTTTATGCGCGTGGTTTTACGGCTGCTTTATTTAACCATCGTCGTCATTAACCCCGTTCGCTCTTGGCGCGTGGCTGTCGTTATTTCGGAAATTGTCTCGAGATTTGTGGCTTGTTTGAGATCTTTTTTTTTTTTTCCCAATTATTGCTTAAAAAATCATGACGTTTTATAAAACGACTCGGATTTTCTAGGAAAAATTAAACATTTTTTTTTCACCCATACAAAACGAAGGAATTCACGATTGTTTCCAGTAATTGATCACCGATAACAATTATTTTATTAATCTAGACAAATCTTTGGTGTGGGCCACGGATGTGAATGCAACTTTGCGCGCCTCGCCGGGGAAAAAAGCCACATGGAGCCTTTGTTGTTTCCAATGTACCATCGAAATACGAAAAAAAAAAAAAACTCCTGTCACCGTTACCTTGACTGTACGCAAGGATATTCATACATTCACAGGGCACGAATAAAAATTTGATATAAGGAACACAAATCGGAAGTTGTATTTCTCGTTTTACAACGAGTTTACTCAAGTTAAAAAAAAACAAAAATTAGAAATTTTTTATGATTTATTTTCATTTCTATTGGAATGGCTGTAACCTCTCGTAACCCAAATCCGACAAACTTTTCCTCGGGTACGAAATGGAGACCGGGTTTGCCGGAACAAAAGTAGAACACTCGCTTTCAATCACCTAGTAATTTTTCTCACCGATTCGAATTAAGAAAGGCTCCGGCGGTGGTAAGGTAAATCAAAAAAGGGCACGCGCAAGGATGAAAAAAGGTAAAAAAAAAAAAAAAAAAATTTAATAAAGTATCACTAATAGCGGGTGGTGGTGATGGCGACATCGGGCGAGCGTAAAGTTTCTTTTAAACTGGCCACCAGGCACTCGCGGGTCCACAGGAGCAAAGTTATGCGTGACTTATCGTAAAAAGTCGTCGCTCCCCTGGAGAAAGCTATAGGCAAAGAAAGAAGAAAAGTTCGTACTTTCTCGAGTAAGAAAAACGTCACTCTGTACTCTACGTCGGCCGTGAAAGATCTTTACGCCTCAGCGGTGCGCTCATTTTCTGCCACAAGCGCACATAGTTATACATATACGTATGTGGGAAAGAGAGACTGCATTTTGGCAGTCCCGACCCTCTACTTTAGCTCTCGGCTCGCGTGTTCGCTCGTAAAAGCCAAAGTGGCGCGAATAAAATCCTGGCGTGGAAAAAAAAGCTCCCCCTAGGCTATGTACGTACCGTATCTATAGCTCTCCCGAGTGGTCGATCGGTTGGATGATTCAATTATTTTGTATCGAAGGACGAAAGAAAAATACCGTAACTTGGTATAAAGTATAATAGCAAAATGTGCCGGGGTAATGGATTTCGCATTTATTTTGCATGGGGATGTTGCGTCGTAACGCCAATCGGATCAAGTGGGTTTTATACTTTTATCTAATGAGTTTATACTTGTTTTTAGAATTTAAAGTTAAATACACTTTTTGAGACTTACGACTTTTGGATTTATATTTCTTCCTTTCTTTATTTTCTTTTCCATCCTCAAATAATTTTTAAAGGACGTTGCAAATCGCAATGTCCCATACAAACTATTATCTAGCGATTTTTGTACCTTTTTTCCAATATAGAACATCAGTTGTATATTTGACTGTAAAAGGTATATTATAAAAATGTTTTTTTAGAAAACTCGGATTTTTGCGTACTTTTAGTGATTTTTACGTAGAATATTTATTTGTCTGTGTGAAGTGCAAAAAAGTCACATCTCAATGAGATGCTCATCTTTATTTGCTACATAGGTACTTGTGTAAAATGTCAAGTTGTGAATTCATTCTGAAAAGGTAATTTTTTTTTTTTTTTTGAGCTCAGTAATAAAAAGTGCTCAGTTATATAATAATGAATTTAAAAAGTGTAAGAATTTAATTACGTTTGCGTAGAGTTAATTGCACACTGAAGTACATCGTTAAATACTTAAACCTGGTTACTTCTGTAATAAAAATTCATTTTTAGGCTGAAAAATACTTGAACCGATGCTCACTCTTTTTCTCTGATAAAGATGAACAACGAACTCTTACGTAAAATTAGTAAAATTAATTTTCTAAAATTACATTGTTAAACAAATTTATAAACGTTTTTTTTTTTTTTTTTTTTCTTAATGATTATGCCAAAAAATGGTATGCAAAGCTTCTGAAATACTCAAGTCTTCAGATATTTATGACGAAGTGTGCATAATTTATTATTGTGTTTATTTTTATCACGTTATATACTACTTGGTAAAGTATGTGACAATGATGATACGGACCAAAGGTTTGAGGTATTTTAGTCAGGTTTTGACAGTTAAAAACAATGTTTTTACGCTTGAAACTAAATTTTTTCAACTGAATGATTGACGCATTCGAGTAATCTTCAATCGATATCTCAACTTTATCGTTTGAGTTGTAAGGACTAAATAGAGGAAACCTCGCATCTTTCATATTACACATGGATTTTTTAATTTAGCAAGAAAAAATAAACATAAAAAAATACGAAATCTGTTATTTACAACATTTCAAAGAAACTCGTCTTTTCGCCAAATCAAAAGCTCGCGCGACAGATTTTTCTTATTACAGAGTTTAAGCTGGCAAAAGCGTGATAATGATTTCCTTTATTCGGTTTTCAATAAAGTCGAGAACAACAAACGCAAAAAACCGAATATTTAATCGCAAAGGAACGAAAGAGGCTTAGCTTTTGATTATCCACCTGCGGACACTATCTGTTTGGTCCGTCGTTGCTGCTGCTGGTTGTGCTTTCTTTAATATTCTTCGGGGGGGAGGAGCGCCGCGGGCCGATGCTTTTTACGTCCGCAGTGTAAAAGTTTCACGTCTCATTTCCGGGGCCTCTTTTAATACCGCTGGTTATTTGAACCGCACAGGATTGACTCCCCGCGCCGCGTCAAAAATAGCGCCCCGGGCGTTGCGACACACATACGTACCCGTGCAGCCCTACCTGATGGGCTGATGCTGCCAAGTGAAAAGATACAAAACCGAGGGTGTTTTTCTCCCTCTTTCGCTTCTTTTCTCGTCGCGAGAGCTCTTTCTCCTTCTTTATTTTTTAAACTCGTGTGCATTAAAGACCACCAGTGTTTTTTCCTCTTGTGTGTCCAGGGTTGTCGTGCTAATGAAGAAAAACCACATTGAAGTTCTTGGCACGAGGAGAAGGAGGAGGAGGAGGAGAGGAACGATAATAAAGATCGTATCTAGAGATCATTAAAATCTTTTTTTTTTTTATTTATTTATTTATTTTATTTATTTTTTTTTTTTTTGGTAATGATAAGAACCAAATGTATATTTACAAAGTACTCGTAAATGCTAATAATGATCGATAATAATCTCTCACTTTTGTTATGTACAAAAAGTTCTTAAACACTCTGAGATGGTGTTTCAAATGGCAACTGAGGGGAAAAAAAAAATAGAAAAGAGAAAATAATAATAAAATGACACTTTTGTTCGTACACATGATTACGTGACAACAGAAATACTCTCAGTTGAAACGACGTCATTCTCGTTTCCTTATACGCTAAATAAACTATATGGTAACCTCAAATACTCAAAATTTGTTGAATCACAATCATTGTTCGGTGACAATAACAGCCATGTTACTTAAGTGCCTCTAATCTTACAGCGAATCGCAAAAATATGGGGTCGATGTAGAACTTGAAGAAAAAAAAATATATACCCTTGAGCATTGGCATGCAACGCGACCGTGAGAGCTCCAGCGTTGAAAAAAGAAAAGAAAAAGAAGTTTGTACGAAAAACAATAACGCGGTGGAATGTTTGACTGTCGTCGGCCTCTGGGTCATGATAATAATAGTAATAGTAATAAAAATAAAAATAATAATAATTGTAGTGAAGTTAAGACAGCAATCGGAGGGATTGGCGTGCTATTGCGTGACTTGAATTGACTTTGGTATTGTGAACAGGGACAGGCTGGTACGTGTCCACAGCTTCGTTTTCCTTTTCTTCCGCTTTTAATTCCTGGCTGGTCATCGTGACCCGATGGTCCAGGGCCCCGCTCGAGTAGTAACCACGATACTCCATCCACTGAGCGTAGCCGTGGCTCACCTCCTCACCGCCACTCCCACGTTCCAGGGGCTCGTCCGAGTCGTCGGGCAGGCTGTTCGAGTCGTCCCCCCAAATTCCGAATTTATCCTCGAACACGCGGCTAGGCGCGTTCGCGCTACTCTCGCTTCGGTGGGGCATTTTGCTCTTTCGCCTGTTGCCCCAGCTCGGGTGACCGTTGGCCGTGTGGCGGTTCATTTTTTTCCACCTAATAGGTCTGTCGACGAAATTCAAATAAATTATCGAGCTTTTTTTGCTTTCGTACAATTTTGCCGTCCCTCTCTTTCTCTCCCTAAGATTAATAGCTCGTTTTTGTTTCACTTTTTCGTTGGCTTGTTTCGTGCGTGTCTCACACGTCTCTCGGGTTTAATATTGCACGTATACCCCGACGAGCGAGAGTCGAGTGCAGCTGCTTTGGCCCTTTGCCTTTGGGCCGCCCGATGGAAGGCGGCGGCGCAAGAGACGTCAAGAGCATTACCATCTCGTGGGCGCGACCACAGCAGCGCTACGTTTCGTAAGTTACGTTCACGTTACTTTAACATCACCTTGGCTGTACTTTCATTATTATTTTCGTGCTGATATATATATATATACCATGTGTACTATAATGGCTAATGCGAATTCGAGAAAAATATCTCATGGATCGTTCGATTGTTGATTATTTTATATCGCGTTAATGAAAGTGTCTTTTGAAGATATTGATACTATTGTGGAAAAAAGACTCTTACGCGCCGCTAGAAGAAAAAGTAAAATTTACAAACATGGCACTACATGTCTTATTTACTTTGTCACATTAAAGAAAAAAGTTTTACGCTATGCCATTTTTGTGTTTTATGGTGTTGGTCATTTAATTTTCTTCCTTTTTTTTTTTCTTCTCAACTTCAATGGTATTGTACAACTGTACCCAAAACATTGGTTTAATTACAAACGGCAAGATATTTTTCTCGTTAATTGCACAAACTACGACAATTAACAATATGTAAAGCACAGAAGGCAAAACAATAAATAAATGCTAGCACTTTCTAAAGCCAAATAAAAGGTACGATATACAAACAAAACTAAGAGGAACGTAACAAAACGAAAACAACAAATGATACATTGTCATCATTAAATAATTGTAAAAAAAAGCACATGAATGAAAAATCAAATTTGGTTGCTGTGAGACATGAAACAAAACAAAAGTCAACAAAAGAGTGCACAACAACGGCAAAAAAAAAATCTAGTACACACGTAAAGGAAAAAGGAGAGGAGGGGAGGAACGAGGGAAGGAAAAAATGGGGCAGCGCACTAATGAAAAAATAAAAAAGGTAAGATTTCTCTAGTGTGTCGCGCAGCAGCGGCACACGGTAGTGCGGCCGGCTCGTGATGAAAACGAGAATCATCGCTCTGCGCGCATGTAATGAAAAATCAAGCGCAGCAGGCGAGTAAAAAAAAAATATATACATATATGTATAACAATAATACAACATAATCCAAAAATAAGGAAAAATTTTACAAAGAGACAGACTTACCCGGACAGTGTCGTAGGCGGTGGTGCCATCATCGGGGGTTCCAGTGCCGGTTCCATTACTGCCGACGAGGCTGGGAATACCGGTGGTCCGGGAGGAGCTCGACCACCCCCTATGATTGTGCTCGTGGCGCTGTCACCTACGGAGCTGCAAAGCCAAATTCATATTCATGAGTATCGATACTTTGCCCACATATATAATATACTATCTCTCTCAGCGCCTCTATTCTCGAAATATCTTGTCGAACGACCGATTGTTGCACGAACCAAACCCATCGGTCTCAATCGTTACGTAAGGCGTTGAAAAAAAAAAAAAAAAAAAGCTGCAACATCAAGCGGTGGAAACTTACTGCATGGCCAGAGGAAGGAGGTGGGGCTCGTTGGTTTGGTTCTGCTGCATCTGTTGACGGTCCTGGTTGACCGGGACGGCGGACCTGGAGTTGCGATTGGCGGAACACCTCTGCTGATGGACCTGGAGTTGCTCAAAATTTTCGGTAATGGAGAAGCAGCGCGTGCATTGGTTTTGGTTGTGCACCTTGAGGGTGTGCTGGGCGAGTCTCTCGGGCCTGGCCGCCCTGTACTCGCACGCGGTGCACCTGTACGGCTTGGTGTGGGTCTTTATGTGCCGGTCCAGGTCCCATTGGGCGTCCGCGGACCACGAGCACTCGGTACAATGGTATCTGCGAACGGAGAATAACGCGGACTCTGATGACAATCAAGGCGCATGACTCGCTCGAGGGTGTACGTGAACTACTCTCGGCTGATCAGGCCGGTTTATTTTTTATCAAACTAGTATCGATTCGTGCGTCTACTCGGCGATACGGGTCTGCACGGTCGAGAGGGGAAAAAAAAAAAAAAAGTAGAAAAGAGAGGTATGTAGATATGGGTCGGAGAACAATATTACTAATTTGACTTTGGATGGCCGAGCTCTCTGTGTTTGCTCCGGCTATTAAAACTCGGTAGCGCGGTGGGTTTGGTTCTGCAAGCGTATAACTTTGTCTGGATGAAATTGAGAATTTTTTTCGCTCCAATAGCTCGTAACTAGATCAGTTCCCTTATCGCATTTTGTTTCAGCCGTTTTTTGAAACACTCGCAGCATCGGTACGAATTCGCCAATGTATGGTGATTTAAATCAAATTCAAATTTACTTTTGCAATGAGTCGAAAATCCGAACCGTGTACCTTGTAACATTTCATGAATTTGATTAATCTTTTTCACGTAATTTTTACTTTTTTTTTTTTTTTTTTGTACTCGTACACTCGAGATTCATTTACTTTATTACAATACTCGAGCACAGTGAAATTTGTGTTTCATCAGTTCTGCGAACTTTGCTTTCAATCATTTGTGCAGTTGATATATTTGCCAACCCAATGCGAATAAAGTTTTTTCATAATTGAACGCGCATGCACCAGGATTTTTACACTGAAAACTTTGATAAAAAAACTTTTTTACCCGCAATTCGGGAAAAACAACCCAGGATGAAATTTTTTCAAATAAAGCTCGCAGCACGATTCATTATTATCAATTGTTTCCTGCACAAAAAATTTAACTGTCAAAAGCAAAGTTCCGCGAAAATTGAAAAGCACCGCTGGCCTTTTTGACCGCAATATACTCTCCGGTATTTACCGAGTTGCGAGAACCACGAAAAGGGGGAAAAACCTCCATAGCTGCGATAAAAGAGCGTTAGAGGGGGGGCGATGGAAAAAAAAAACGCGCGACCAGGGTAAGAAGAAGCGAATACTTGAGAAAGAAGCCGGTGATGGATTAAGGATAAAAAAAGGTGCAAAGTGCGATAGTACCGACCTGTGGTCTTCCTTGTTCATCTTTTTTTTGCCCTTGGAGCTCCGGATCTTGCCGGAACTGGTTTGCGCGGACATCTGCACGACATCGTTCGACTGCTGTTGCAACTGTTGTTGCTGTTGGTGTTGTTGTTGCTGTTGTTGTAGCTGTTGGTGCTGTTGCATGACCGCAGCAGCGGCAGAGGCAGCGGCGACGGCCGCCGGGTTCAGGTACATGGCGGCGGCGAGGGCGGGCGTCGGAGCCTGTAGCTGCTGCTGCTGCTGGTGATGGTTGTAGCTCGGAGCCGGTAGGCTCATCTGGACTTGGGGCTGCTGGGGCGGCTTCGGGTACACGTCGCCGTTCATGTACGGGTTGGCGGTGCCGTTGGCGATCGGCGGACTGGACGCCGTCGACGTCCTTGGGCTGGAGTTGCTCGAGCACGGGCTGGGGCTGCCGGCGTTGGTCTCGGAGCTCGGGGTCACGCGAATCCGGGACGAGTTGTACGTGATATCCCTTTGCAAATCGAGATAAACGCGACGGTTACGGCGGTTCGTTCGTGTCGGATGTGGTACTTTGCAATAAAATTCAGCCCCGCAGGTATTGTCTCATGTGTCATTTTGTCAACTAAGCATTTTTATAGTTGCACGCTCATACATGTATGCAGTTTGTGTTTGTGGACAGAAGAGAACGATTGTACCAGAGCTTTTTAAGTATTTAGTTATTTACGCGCTTAGGTGACAAAATTTTTAAATAATACGTGTTTGTACTGCCTACATTGTCCATACTTATAACATTAATATCACTGTTTTATGCAATATTGGTAGTTTTACTCTCTATTGATTATCATTCGTTTTTTTTTTTTTTTTGCGCAACAAATATTTTCTTTTGCTCTTATTTTCCATTGATTTCAAACAACGTCACGAATAAATTAAAACACTTTGCCTCGGGCCGACTGAGAATATTATTTTCCAATATTTTTTTAATAATTCGCGTTTTCTTTCAAGTCGTTATGCTCCACTTGCAGTTCTGCCCATTTGCGTCGATATTTGCATGATATGCGTTTAATATATTCCAGAGGCTTCATGAGTATCGATACTTTGCCCACATATAATGCAAAGCTTCTGAAATACTCAAGTCTTCAGATATTTATGACGAAGTGTGCATAATTTATTATTGTGTTTATTTTTANAAAAAAAAAAAAAAAAAAAAAAAAAAAAAAAAAAAACAAACAGAATACCGCAGCACCTGTGGTTCTTGACGGAAAATCGATGTTTACCTACAACGTACAAAAGCTCACTAAAAGAGCACGCAAACCCATAAAATATAATATAATCCCAACAACTTATTGCTCCATGGATCGCTGGTCTTTTCATCGAAACCATTATTGCTTCGCTTCGAGATGGCTATTGTTATCATCGTTATTATTACTACGATTGCTGTTGTAGTTGTTGAAACGATTCATCGGAGCGACATTTGAGAGACAGAGAGAGAGAGAAAAAGATTGAAGAAAGAACCCCCGACTATACGAGGATTCACGCGGCTGAAAATCTCGAGAGAAAAAAAGGCTAGAAAAACAGTAAAGCTCTGCAGGCAGAGTTTACCTTCCGTCCTGTCTGGCAAACAGAAAAAACGCCAACAGTAGTATATTATACATGATAGTGGTAACGTATCGAAAAAAAGCAAGCGCGAAACATCGGCACGTCGAAGCATTTCTTTTCTCCTCCCTTTGTCTCGCGATTTTTCGACTCTTCCCTTAACGACCTCACCGCGCCGGTGCTGTGCACACACAGCACAAGACAGAAGATCCCTTTTAGTCAGCCGCGACGACAACGACGAGGACGGGGCAGAGCCATCGAAAATCACTCTTTTACAACGAGCCGTCGACGCTGTCGTACCTATACATCCAGCGGGCGTGCGACGACAAAAGCGCGCCGCAGCAGCATCACCGGAGAACAAAAGCTGACGAAGCGCGCGCGCGTACACGGGGAAAAACAAAAAAGGGGGCTGATGATAGGGGCCACCCGATCCATACATATACATATACAGGTATGGCGGTGGCAAAAGGTATGGAGAGATCGAGTTGTGTGTATATACGTACTTGTGTATCCTGAGAAAGTGCTTCTTGACGTGATCGGCCCGGGTGAAGACCTTGAGGCATACGTAGCAGTGAAAGGGCTTCTCGTCTTTGTGTATGTACTCGTGGCGCCTGAAGAGATCCCGCCTGTCCGCGCCGTAGCCGCACACCTCGCACACGTACTTCATGCTCGCGTAGTCGGCCTGGCCCGCGCCCCGGCCGCTCTTTCGCCTCCCGCTGCGCCTCCCGTTTCTCCTGGGCCCGCCGTTGACGCTCGCAACGATGCCACCGTCACCACCATCGGCCTCCTCGTCGCCCAGACTCCCGCTACCAACCGAGCACGTACTCCCGCTCTCCAGCTGCATCGAGCTGCTGCTACTGTTGTTGTTGTTGTTGTTGCCGTTGTTGTTGTTGTTGTTGTTGTTGTTGTTGTTGTTGTTGTTGTGGCTGTTGTTGCTGTCGTTGTTGTTATTGTTGACGTTGCTCTGCTGCAAGACGAAAAAATTTCAAAGCATAAGTCCTCCTCTGCCACCGTCTTAGCTGACGATCCATGTAGATATGACTGCACCGTGTCGGGAATAATGCGTCGTTTCCCTGTGCACCTCTGCGGCCAGTGCGAGAGACCCTCGCTCCGACTGTGGATACGTAAGTGTTATATTGTACGAATGTACGTGAGCGTATGACTCGAGTCCACCCCCCCACGCACACATTTTCCCTGGCCCCCGGGGGAAATCACCGGCACGTGGGAAATCTTTGGAAAGATGACGCGTCCACGCCCGGCGGCGTAAAGACCGACTCTTGCAAGGAGGAGAAGAAGAGCGCGTTGCAATTTGCCTCGCTCCCGAGGACCCGTGCGACTTGCTCGATTACTCACGGTTCTTCTTCTTTTTCTCCATAATTTCCGCACCTGTTCTCTGACTCGTTTCTCTCGATGTGTACACACAGGACGCAATATTACTCCTTCGATTGTTTATTTGCACCGAGCATAATTACTACGATTTATCGTGTTTGTTTGGAGTAAGATTTTTTTTTCTTCTTTTTGTTTCAGGTCATGTGTCGGGGGACCAAGACTCGAGCATCGACCGGTGAGTTGAAATAAACCGTTACGGAAAATGTAATCGAAAAGTGTCCGCAAACGACGTTCCATTCATTAAATTTCCATAAAATAAGCTGTTTTCAACACGTATACAATAAAACTCTCCTTGAAACACGTCGAAGATTTTTTTTTTTTTGCAAAGGAAAACACGGAAAAATTCATGTAATTATCTAACTTTAATGGAAAGGCCAAAATTTATAACTCAAACAACCCACATACAAGTTCCTATATTTTATTTTATGCATATTATTAATTAAGCCAATGGTTTTAACGACTGACATCTGGTATTAAATTAAACTTTGTCAGGAAAAGCAGTGCTTTGAAAAAACATTTTATTTGAGTAAGTACGAAGTAATTTATTTGATCAAAGCAAATTTTTCCGTTCCAAAAAAAAAAAAAAAAAAAAAAAAAAAAAAAGGCCACATCGAGCTTTCGCAAGCGTATCAAACGTTCACATTAAAATCGATAACTATCATATCCTACCTGATTATTGATGTTTGGCAAGTGAGTGTACGCTGGGGGCAACTCTTGGAGAAAAATCGCCTGAGCGACTGGCAGTATCGTCGCGGGCACCGTCTGCGTCTCCTGAGTGCGCCGTGCCGGTGGTAACACTGCCGCGCCCGTAGCCGTGTCCCTCACCTGCTCCAAATAATTGGTGATATTTTGCAAGGCCCGGCCGCTGTCCTCGTCGGAGATGCGTGACTGGTGCAAACTAACGAAATGCTCGGCCACTTCGCGCGGGCTGCTGTTTATATGGTCGCCTATTCTTGTTGAAATGAAAAGAAAAATAAATAAATAAAAATACCATGACTCTAATTGTGTTAAGATAAAGAGGATTGAACTCAAAGAAGCGGCACAACAAATATCGAAATTGTCATTATACAATTAAAATAGAGGAAAAATATGATTGTAACTATTGACGCTACGAGGATATTTAAATTAAGTTTTCAATTACGGGGTTAACAAATTCGGATCCTCCGACAGGATTCACTTGGTGGATAACACACAGCGAATCCCACCAAGCGCTGTGCTTAACATCTAAGGCTTTGTGCGATGTGCAAACTTTGGTGCACGATAGGTAATTACAGGCAAACTGACAAGCTATACATGTACCAGATACGTATTGCGTTCGCGTATACTTACCACGTGTGGATATAAACTGACTTGAGGTGTATACGATGCCTGCATGTTGGCGGTATTGTTGTTTGCAAAATGATAATATAACACCGGTGCAATAGAGGGCACAGCCTAATTAATACACCGAAATATCAAATTTACGTTATTCGTTATAGCATTTGTGTCGAATTAACAAATGAACCTGTCGATTTCACCTCTGCTCGTGTTTGGCTATTGTTTAATGCATCGAGCACTTTCCATTCAAACAAGAACGAAATAACTAAAGCGTACATGTAAATTGATATTATATAACAAAGTTGCAGTGTTCATTGCATATACAACAAAACTGTTCGTGTGCAATTGGAGTACAATTTAGGAGGTAAACAGTGGCGTGCGGAACAAAAAAAAAAAAAAACAGTAACAACTACGACGACGGCAACAAACAAACAAACAAAATAAAAAAAGGAAAAATTAAACAAGAGTGAAAATTCAATTGTCCAACAATGATGCTGTCGTGCAGTGACGATGATGGGGGGGGGGGCGGATGAGAGCGCAGGCTCCTTACCGCACTCGTAACAGCGCCAGCTCGCGGTGGTCGCCCGGTAGGCGGCTATGCGGCTGCCCTCGGTGCCCTTGAGCGGCTCATCCCCGAGGGTCCAGCTGCCCTCCTCGCCGGTGTCCCCGGGGTGGCCCACCACCTCATCCTCGGCCTTGTACGACACCGATGTCTCGAACTCGTTCTGGACATTTGACGCTGGATACCGATCTTTGTTTTAACGCTCGAGCTTACACGGCACGAAATTTCGATAGGCTCGAAAACCTCTTTTTTTTTTTTTTTTACTTTGATAATGCACTATTGCAAAAACAATTTGTGTTTACAATGCCTAGCTGTCAATTGTCTGTGTATATTGATTTTGATTGGGTTTGGCGAGATCTTGATTTCTAATGAATTTATATTTATACAAATTTGTTGTTGATAAAAAATGGAAGATTCATGTGTGTGGGTATGTTATTTTTCTTTGGCGAGTATACAGTGGGACAGTCGAAACGAAAAAAAATGTAATAAAATTTGATCAAATCTTCCATTAGATGCAATAAATAAGTCATTAATAACTTGTGTCAGGAATCTAGACGTTAAGGACGATTTTCATGCTGCCTCTGAAACCTACCGATATGGAGGAGGGGGGTATGATAAATGGCCTAATGACGTGACTTATCTGGCTATTAGCTGTAAGGTGTAGAATTTAGGTAATTGGCGGTTGTCGCTGTAGCTATGTAAGCTTAATGCATTGAACTGGCTCTTGCCTTGCCACTGGATTTGAGCAGTAAATGAAAATGGAATTTCCATTAATATTCATTATGATTAGTAATTTTTTATTTGTTGATGTCAATGATTTTCTTTTCTTATCAGTCAAAAAGTTAATTTAACGCTTTAATTTTGATGTTTTTTATAATTTTATTACATTTTATTTATAATGTGGTTAAATGGTATGTCATTATTTTTGTAAAATATTTGAAACTTTAATTTTACTTAAATTTTTTTTGAAAGAAACATTTTTGAAAAATTATTGAACATCAACGGTTTTCCGAGGGAAATCTTTGTTTTTAGACTCTTGGATGTTACTGTGTACTATAGAAATTTCCAAAACACAAGTAAAAAATTTCACGACATTTTAGTTACCTCTAATATAATGAAAATGACTTCTTTCCTTCCTTTTCCTTCGTACAGGGAAAAAAAGGTATGTACAAAGGTTCGTCATCTACAAAACCCATTTCCAACACTTGCAGAACGAATTACTTAGCTTTCCATTTTTTCTTACCCGTGATGGTTACATCTCGCTCTTCTTGGGTGGGCCATATAAATACATAAGCCTTGGAAAATCTCAATGCCCAACGCTCGAAATTTTCTTTTCTCATTCTTCCCGCACTCACACTTCTAGGCTTATCTTGTCATGTGTTTAAACCGTACGTGATCACCGTCAGCTACTGCGAACGAGTATATCGCCATAAAACTCTCTCTCTCTCTCTCGTCATCCCCACTTAAGAAAAATCCACACTATATACGTGAGCAGACTTATTATTTCTCACTTGAGACAATTGTCCCGATTTCTCTCCCCTACCCTCCCTCCCATTCGAAGGGAGCTCGACGCCGGTACTTCCACGTAAAACTCATCCAACGGATAAAATAAAGTTAAACCGTACAAAAAGTCTAATAACACGTTCGCAATTGGTATTCGCTCCGAGCCGATACAGAGGTTGCGCCCCCTCTAGCCAACATCAGGCAACATTTCTTGCATGTAAACAAACGGCTTAGAAAATATATACATGCGTGTAGCTGCTTGTGATTGGCTGAATAAGACAGCAGGAGAGGATCGTCGTTCTCTCTCTAGCTTGCCAAGTGCCAATCACAAGCAGCTGTACGTATGTATATATGTTCTAAACTGTTTGTTTACATGAAAGAAATGTTGCCTGATTTTGGCTAGAGGGGGTGCAACCTCTGCATCGGCTCGGAGCGAATACGCTGTCGGCACGTGTAGTACACGATCGGTGGTAATAATAGAGCTAGTAAGTACAAGATATAGCCGTATATCCATACAACGACCATAATATATACACAGAGAGAGCGAACACATCTTAGTTACGCTTAATGCTTGTCACTTGGTACAATACCTGGTATACAATCGAGGGTCGGTGACAAGGACCCTATCGATCGGATTGCACGGGTGTTGGTATAGATAGCCGCGATACAGATAGCTTGTAACCCGCGCGCAACAGGGACGACGATGATACCGTGAGGCTGTCCCTCGCCACCCTTGGCCTGCATGCAGGACTTGGTAATTCCTGCAGGAGCCTTGCCCCACAGCCGAGGTGAGAAGGAGCCACTGGATACACCAGAGCCCACCACGGGCAGATTAGAACCGCTGGTCAATGCACTTGCATTGATAAACGCCACTGATGGTGTACATATATTATATATATATATATGCATACGGGTGTCCTGCAATCGATCGCTTCTAGCCGTAATTAAACGCGCGCGACGCACATCACGGGGACGAGAGAGAGGGAGAGGAGCGCAGTATGACGGTGTTTGCTATATGCGCACAATTATATCAAACCCCCCTGAACCCTAGTATACGTTTAGGGAAGGAGGGGGCCAAGGATCTGGGGTAGGGGCATGAATGGCGGTGGTCGCGCGAAGACGAACGCGAATCTGGAGATTGCACCCACATGTATGCATATGTACATTGCACCCGCGAGAAGGAAGAGCGAGACGGTGAATTAAATCAGCTAATTGCAGGGATGCGAGGCAATTAGCCGAGTGGTCTGTCTTACTGTAACGACAATATCCAGAGTTTCTCGGCACCGGTCCACCTATATCTATATTTGCGCGTCGAGGAGAGCGAGGCTGGCCGCCCTCGGTGCTCATGAATAGGTGTACCTATGCATGTACATATACATATACTCGGCAGTTTGCGTGGGTACTATCTACTAGGTCCAAACCACGACGCCCCTCTAGCGTGCATCCCGAGGGAGAAGAAGGTGGAGGAGGAAAGGGAAACTCCTCAAGAGCGGAAAAACAAGTCTTTGAACGTAAACGCGTACTATGGCGAGTATGTATACCTATGTATATATTGTACGGGAGATGGTGGCGAGCGACGAGTATACCGTTATGTTATGGTAAACAAGGTTGTAAGGGTGTGCGAAATTTTGACGGAACTCTGCGTATAGTTCCTCCCCCTCCTCGGGCGTTGTTTGCGCCTCGGAAGAAGTTACGGGTTTGATTTTTTGTTGATGACGGCTCGTTGTACCTACACGCATTCCGAGTTGAAAAGAAAAGGAGTTTGGGGGGGGGGGTGTACCAATTCCGACAGCGTAGCCTTTGAAAAATGTTGCATTAATGGGGGTACAGGAGGTGAACAATGAAAAATCGCGCTTCGGAGAGTTGAACGCGAGTGACATTGAGACGTAAGAAAAATCGACTCAGTGATGGAGCGAAACGGATATCTTACGAGCGATTTTATCCGTCAAGTCATCAAAGTATACGAAAGAGAGAGTGTAAAAGTATACAAAACAAAGAAACAAAAGAGATAAAGATTGGCCTATTGGCGCACAACTCACTGCGGTTCTCGAGATCCTCGCCGTACAATTTGCGCGTGATCTCCTTGAACATGTCCTCGTAGTCGAGCCGATTGCCGTGTCCTCCCGGTTCCATGGATGACAGGAAAGTGAATAATACTCTCGCCGGGCGCAAGCTTTGTTCTGTGACGGGCCCTTACGTAGCCCCTCCCACGTTTCCTTGCACTTGTGACGCAGCCCCCTGAAAACACGCAGACGTGAATTTTTAACGAATGGCACGCAGTATACATCAATATACACGCACACTCAGAAAAGTGCGAAAGATGAGAGGTGAGGTGGGGGGAGCGGGGTGACTGTACTGTACGGCCTGCACTCATCACGGATACTATAGTTACGCCGAAAGTCGAGCTTGTCAATGTATATGAGGAAATCCACAAACAAAATTCCATCTTTGTCCTCCACTGTAATAAACAAACATTTTTTGAAACCGGACCATCTTCTTACTCGCAATGTTATGACTACATGAGAGAAAAATCATTGACACCCTTTTTCCGAAATTCACATGCCGTTGTTATCAATACATACCTGATGTACTTTTTGCATGTTAAGCGCGGAAAAAGATGACACTAAAATTCGGAACGTTCCAGGAACGAAATTTGAGAATTTAATTAATCACTCTAAAACGTAGCAAAGTTGCTTGAAAATAACTGAAAGTAGCATTAGAGACTACTAATCATATGTATAAATCGTAAAAAGGATAATTGTACATTATTTTACCCGCACCAAAAAATTATCATGTATGTGCCTATATGCTAGCTTTACTACTCCTTCAAACCTCTAGCTTTCCTAACTATAAAACCAAATAGAAGACCCCGCTGAAAATGATACTAGTTGTTTATTATTATATAAACAACAAAATAAATTCAAAATATCCAAAAAAAATAGACAGGGCAGGTGATTTTCACTCGATTTTTCACTACACGCGTACTGCAAAATCAACCAAGTTCGCTCTTCTGGCCCTCATAACTAGAAATCTAGATCGAAGGCACCGCTAAAAACGATACAGGTTGTTTATTATTATATAAACAATAGAATAAATTCAAAATATCCAAAAAAAATCGACAGGGCGGGTGATTTTCACTCGATTTTTCACGACACGCGTAGTGCAAAATCAACCAAGTTCGCTCTTCTGGCCCTCATAACTAAAAATCTAGATCGGAGGCCCCGCTAAAAACGATACAGGTTGTTTATTATCATAGAAACAACGAGATAAAATTAAAATATCCAAAAAAAATCGACAGGGCGGGTGATTTTCACTCGATTTTCCACTACACGCGTAGTGCAAAATCAACCAAGTTCGCTCTTCTGGCCCTCATAACTAAAAATCTAGATCGAAGGCCCCGCTAAAAACGATACAGGTTGTTTATTATCATAGAAACAACGAGATAAAATTAAAATATCCAAAAAAAATCGACAGGGCGGGTGATTTTCACTCGATTTTCCACTACACGCGTAGTGCAAAATCAACCAAGTTCGCTCTTCTGGCCCTCATAACTAAAAATCTAGATCGAAGGCCCCGCTAAAAACGATACAGGTTGTTTATTATCATAGAAACAACGAGATAAAATTAAAATATCCAAAAAAAATCGACAGGGCGGGTGATTTTCACTCGATTTTCCACTACACGCGTAGTGCAAAATCAACCAAGTTCGCTCTTCTGGCCCTCATAACTAAAAATCTAGATCGAAGGCCCCGCTAAAAACGATACAGGTTGTTTATTATCATAGAAACAACGAGATAAAATTAAAATATCCAAAAAAAATCGACAGGGCGGGTGATTTTCACTCGATTTTCCACTACACGCGTAGTGCAAAATCAACCAAGTTCGCTCTTCTGGCCCTCATAACTAAAAATCTAGATCGAAGGCCCCGCTAAAAACGATACAGGTTGTTTATTATCATAGAAACAACGAGATAAAATTAAAATATCCAAAAAAAATCGACAGGGCGGGTGATTTTCACTCGATTTTCCACTACACGCGTAGTGCAAAATCAACCAAGTTCGCTCTTCTGGCCCTCATAACTAAAAATCTAGATCGAAGGCCCCGCTAAAAACGATACAGGTTGTTTATTATCATAGAAACAACGAGATAAAATTAAAATATCCAAAAAAAATCGACAGGGCGGGTGATTTTCACTCGATTTTCCACTACACGCGTAGTGCAAAATCAACCAAGTTCGCTCTTCTGGCCCTCATAACTAAAAATCTAGATCGAAGGCCCCGCT